AAGTAATAATGTTCAACAACAACAACAACAACAACAACAACAACAATAATAGCAATATCAACAGCAACAACGACAACAACAACAACAACAACAACAACACCACACACACACTGTGGAAAACACACGCTGAGGAACAACACACACACATATATATATATATAATAAAACACACACACGTCTGTGGATAAACCACACACACGCACTGTGGACAAAACACGTGTGTGTGTGTTTTTGTGTCCGTTTTGTCCTCTGGCACCCCAACCAACGACAACGGCATCCTGAGTAGGCTGTCGATGCTCTTGGCTTTACCGTGCTCTGCCATGGCCTCACACGCTCCGCCCCTACAAAACAAGGGGCTCGGGCGAAGGCCCGCAGGAGCGTTCCGTTCTGTTCCTCCCCGCCCTTTTCCTTCTCGTTCTCCTCATCGCCCTCCGCGCGGCGGCGGCGGCGGCCACGTCGCAGGACCCACGCGGGGCGGCTGTATCGGCGGCGGCCCCCGCGCGACCCGGCAGCGGGGCGGTGTCGGCGCCGGCCACAGGGGAGCGGGCCGCGTCGAAAAGGGATCGCCGCCGCCGCCTCTCAGAGCTTCGAAGCATCGGGGCTGGGGGTGTTCTCGAGGGAAGAACTGGGGGGAACGATAGTAGGGGAACGAACAATGACATAAACAAAAAACTCGGAGGTCCGCGCGGATTTCTCGGATCGGCGCTGGACCCCCCTGGCGCGCTCCGCGCGCCAGGGAGGGGGCTCGACGTGTCCCGACGCTATTCTTTTGGGGCGGTGGTGTCGCCCTTTTGCGGCTGGAGGCTGGGTCCCCCTCACAGTGATGGTAGTGCCGTCGTCGTCGTTTTCGTCGTCGTCGTCGAGTTCGTCGTTGTTGTCGAGTTCGCCGTCGTCGTCGGCGACGTCGTCGTGGTCGTCCTCTTCGTCCTTGTCTTTGTCTTTGTTTTTGTCTTTGACTTTGTCGTTGTCTTGTCGTCGTTGTCTTTGTCGTTGTCTGTCTTTGTCGTCAACGCACCCTGGCGAATCCCAGCTCCTATTAGTGCCGTTTAGTATTGCTTAGTGCGGTTTTTAGTGCGGCGCGGGGCTTCCTTCTCCCTCCCCCGCCCTTCCACTCCCAGCTCTTCCTCCGCTTCCCCCATGACGCCCCCTCGTCCTGGGGCCCAGGAGTGATCCAGGGTCCAGGGGCGGTCGTCGGCGTCGGCGTCCTCGTCGTCGTCGTCGTCGTCGTCGCCGTCGTCGTCGATGTCGTGTGATGTCGTTGCTGCCGCCGCCGCGGTCGTCGTCGGCGGTCGTCGTCAGCGGTCGTGGTTTCCGTCGTCATGTCGACATCGTCCCCGCCGCTGCGACCGTCGTGGTTGTCGTCGTCGTCCCTGTCGACCCAGTCGTCGTCGTTGCTCTAGTCGTCGTCATCGTCGCCGTCGCCATCGTCGCCGTCGTCGCCGTCGTCGTCGTCGTCGTTGTCGTCGTCGTCACCGTCGTCGTCGTCGTCGTCGTCGTCGTCGTCGTCGTCGTCGTCGTCGTCGTCGTCGTCGAGGTCGTCGTCGTCGTCGTCGTCGCCGTCGTCTTCGGGGTGGGGCCCCGACACCGTCGTCGTGCCGCCGAACCGTTCCTGCCCCTCCGCTGGCCTCTTGCCTCCGTCCTTCCGTGTGGTTTGGCTTGCTTTAATTTGTTTTTCTCCCTCTCTCCCTCCCTCTCTCCCTCCCTCTCTCCCTCCCTCTCTCCCTCCCTCTCCCTGCCACCCGGTCCCGATCATCGGCGTTCACGGAACGGCCTTGGGCGTTTACGAAGCAGCCCTGCCCTGCTAGAGTCGTTCCCTGGGGTGCGTTTCCCAAACGGCTTCGCGTGTCGGGGTGGCTATTTTCGGGGTGCTTTTTGTGCCCTCTGCTCAAGGCGGTGACGAGAAGCACCGTTGCGAGTGAGCTGATGGCCGCGACCTCAGCCACGGGCCTCAAGGCGGCGCTCGCCCCATACGCTCCACGAGGTGGCCACGAGGCCGCGCGGCCCATGCGCCGCGCGGTGCCGGCGAGGAGGGCAGCGGGCTCCGGGCCGTGCAGCTCGCGCCGCGCTGACGGCCGCTGGGCCTGAGCCTCCGGCAGGGCACTGAGCCGTTTGATTCTCTGTGGTGAGCGCGCAAGCGTGAAGCGCTTCTACTTGCGCAGGCCGCAAGGTTTTTCTTCGTGAGCCCCAAATGTCGGAAGTGACGTGCCGTTCAGGTGAGCGGATACATGCGGCGCTCTCTTCGGTTTCGTGCCTCTTCCCGGATCCCCCCCCCTCCCCCGTAGAGTCATAGCTTTGGTCAGCAGATCCAAAGTTCGGTGGATAGCATTGTGCTTCACGTGCGGTGCCACGCGGATCCCATATCAGCCAGCGTTGACTCCAAATGGATTAGACGACTCAAATCAAGGAATCAGAGGAATCAAGCATGTTTGGAATCCGCAACTCAGCCAGCAAGCAAGCAAGCGTGCACGCAAGCGCGCAAACAAGCAAGCAGGCAAGCAAGCAAGCAAGCAAGCGTGCAAACAAGCAAGCGAGCAGGCATAGGCACAGGCGCATAGGAGTTAGGGGGAGGCATAGGCATAGGCATAGATAGGCAAAGCCATAGGAATTAGGGGGCAGAAGAATTAGGGGGGGCAATGGACGAATTCGTAGGGTTTGAACTAGGACCCCTATAGGGCAAGCCTATTTGGAAATTTCCCCTGGGTCCGGAATGTTTATTATTATTCTTTTATGTTATTCCCAGAAATTAAATGGATCCATGGTTTTTCACACATGGGACATTGGATTCGCGCATGACAGAAACAGGATCCACGACACTGTCGCACACCCGAAAAAATCCAATTTGATCCATCGGTGTTCTCATATTATAGTCCAAGAGGAAAGCTTTCGGCCTGGGGATGTATTCGCTGTGGCTTTCCGGCCAGCCAACAACAACCCAATCACGTTCGCACGACGTTTTTTCTTCGTACGCCTCCTCTGAGGGTTCGTGGGGGCCGGCAGTCTCCGTTGCCGCATCTCCTATGGCTCCGAGACCTCCTGTGCTCAGGCCAGCTGTCGGCCTTGAGCTGGGAGGAAGCTCGCGACGTGATTGCGGATGGACCCACGAAGGGGTGCATCGACCGCGCAGTACTCCATGTGCTCTGTCTCCAGCGGATACCGCAGGAGACTCCGCACTCCATGTGTCGCCACCCTCAGCGCTGAGGCCAAGCACGCAGTGCTATCTGGTCCTGGGCGCAGTCCCGCCGAGAGAGACAACCAGCCGCGATTAGCGTGGCCGCCGAGCTGCAGTCCAGCTTGGCCAAAACCCTCCTCCTCTGCCTCATCTCTCGCTTGGAGGTCCCAGGTCTTATCTCGTGATGGCCAGGGCCGACGGGCTCGCTGTATATGTATCGCGCCGTCCTGACTGGGATGAGTGGCGCGGCAGGCACTGCATGGAAGTGGTAGAATTGCGGTTGAAAGTGGAAAGAGATGTGCATCAGTGCGCGATGCGGTATGCGAGCGCGAACGCGCGCATGCGCGCGCAACGTCCGCGGCCGTCTGCAAATTCAGCGCGCGGGTCGCGAGCGGCGTCGGTCGCTTGCGCGCTGGCCTGCGCCAGCGGCCCCGCGCGGCAGCATGGGCAGCAGGGGCGGCGAGGACAACGGCAATAAGACGGATGCTCCCGCGGCCGCGGTGGTCTCAAGAGCAAGCAGGCATAAGACCAGGAGCGGGGAAATGGCTCCGCTCGACGAGGGGTCCGCGGCGGACGACACCGCAGCGGGCTCGGACAGGCCTCGCACCATTCTCTTGGCAGGGGACGCGGAGGGGGAGGGCGTGGACTGAGCTGCGAGGCGAGGCGCAGGACATCACCCCCTGCGTTCCCAGGAAAACGACCACCTTCCCCCGCTCCGCTCCACCAGTCCAAGGTCTCGCCGCATCCTCGCCCCCTCATCCCCGCGGGTCGCGCGTCGCACCTCGTCGAGCTCCGCTCTGACTCTCGGCCGCTCCGACCGCGACGCACGGCCCTCACGAACGCGCCGTCACGGCGCCTGGCCAGTCACCTCACACCCCCACCACCACCACTCGGGTGAGCTGGCCGGTGCCGTTTTGAAGAGCACGAGCGCGCCCTCTGAGCACAGCCAGAGGGTGCGCATTCCGCCGGCCTGGGGCGCGCGACCCCCCCCCAGGTGGCGGCCGGGCATCTTGCGCGGATGGGGATTGTGCGTTGGGGTTGGGCAGTTCTGGAGTTTCCTCCCCTTTCTCGGTCCTGTGGCTCTGCCAGAGCTGTTCCATCGCCCGCGCAATTCCGACTCGAATCGGATGCCTCGCTGGCTCACAGCTCCGGGGCGCACGCATCTGAGAATTGCAGGAAGGTCAGCTTTGCCACTGCCATGCTGTCTTATCAGCCACCACCACCCGCAACTCGAGTTCCTCCTCCTCCTCCCCCTTTTCCTCCCCCTCCTCCTGATCCTCCTCCTCCTCCTCCGCCTTTTCGCGTTCTCTTTCGTTTGCTGGCGCTTCCTCCCTGCCCCTGCTCCTCCTAATTACCCCTCTGCTGCTCCTGCTCCTGCGCCTCGCCCGTCGTCTTCCCTTTTCTGCGCCCCGCCCTCCCTGTTCACCGCCCCGCCCGCCCCCCTCGTTTTCCCCTCCCCCTCTTTGCCTCTTATTTCCGTCCTCCCCCCCCCCCCCTTCCTCCCCTTCCCCGTCCCCATCCCCCGCCCCCCCCCTCCTCTCTCCCCCATCTCCCTCCGCCATCCCTCCCTCCCTCCCTCCCTCCCTCCCCCCTCCCCTCACCCTTCCCCCAGCCCTGAGCCCGGGGAGCTGCCCGGACGGGGGAGCTGCCCGGCCCCGCGGGCCCCCCCGCGGGGGCTGACTGGAACAGCCCAGTCCGGAAGATCGCCCCTCCCCCCCTCCCCCTCCCTTCCTCGCCCCTGCCCCCCGTCCTTCCGCGCCCCCCCCCTTTCTCCCCTAGTTTTCCCGCGGTCGCGGTCGCGGCGGTCGCGGTTGCGTGGCGGGCGCGCGCGATGCGCGCAGCGCAGGAGCGCGGCGGCGGCGCGCGGGGCGCGCGGCGGGCCTCTCGACCGCGTGGCCCCGTGCTCGCAGATCCTCGCAGATCCTCCGCCCCGTCCCCCTCCTTCGCTGGCGGCTCCCCGCCAGCCCCCCCTCCTGCTCGAGGGCACCGCCCTGCCGCGCCCGCGCGCGCTGGCTGCCCGCGGCGCGCCTCGATGCCGCCCTTCGCGCAGGCCGCCCGCCCGCGCGCGCGCGCCCTGGCGACCGCGCGCGCCCCGGTGCGACGACCGACGATCGGCGGGCGATCGATGGAAACCGTTTTTGCGTTCTCTGTCCCTCCTCCTCCTCCTCCTCCTCCTCCTCCTCCTCCTCCTCCTCCTCCTCCTCCTGTTCCTCCTGATACCCTGTCAGATCCTCTCACTGGTCTATCCCCTGGTCATCCTTATCCCTTCGACCTCCTCCTCCTCCTCCTCCTCCTCCTCCTCCTCCACTTCCTCCTCCTTCTCCTCCTCCTCGAGAACGGGGGGTTGTGGCGTCCCTCGCTTTTCGGAGGGTGTTTTCCCCTTCTCCTTCCCCTCCTCCTCTGTCTCCCTCTTCTCCTCCTCCTCTTCCTCCTCATCTTCCGCCTCCTCCTCCTCCTCTTCGTCCTCCTCCTCCTCCTCCTCCGTCTTCTCCGACTCCTCCTCCTCGTCCTGCTCCGCCCGTGGGATGCCAGAACTGGGCACTGATGAAGCCCAGAAGGTTCCTCGCCGAATGCGGCCGCCGCTTTCCTTTGCTGATGCGCTCATTGCGTGGGCGCTCCGTAGTGTCGTGCGGTCTCTATTTGGTCCGCCGCGTTTCGGCACTCAGCCCCGAAAAGGTCAAAGGTCTTTTTCATCCTTTTCCTCCTCTTCCTCCCCCTCCTCCTCCTCCTCCTCCTCCTCCTCCTCCTCCTCCTCCTCCTCCTCCTCCCCCATCCCTTTTCCTTCCAATAGATTCCTCCCGTCGCACCCACAGACGTATCGGTAGGGCGGGCCGGTCGTTTCGCCTGAGAATATAGCGCCACTTATGACCCTGAAGCTTGAAGGCTTGCATCAGCTTCACGGATGGAGAGTTACCGTTTTCAAGATGTGGCGTTCGTTTTATTGCAGCGCGCATTCGTGGCAAAAGTTTGCAACTGGTTCACGGATGGAGAGTGGGTGGTTGTCAATAGATGGTTCTCGCCATACTGCCGCACACATTCGCTTGCAAAGCTTGAAACAGCTTCACGGATGGAGGTCGGGATGTTTTCAAAATGGGGTACTCGCATTAGCACCGCGCACATTCTTTTTAAAAGTTTGGAACAGCTTCACGATTGTAGGTTGGATCGTTTTCAAAATGTGGTTCTCGCGTTCGCGCCGCATTCATTCGTTTTCACAGTTTGCAGCAGCTTCAGGGATGGAGGCCGGGTCGTTCTCAAAATGTAGTTCTCGCATTAGCGTTGCGCACATTCGTGGTAAAACAATGAAAATGTTTCAAAGGTTCGATTTGGTCGAATTCCCAAGAGTAGCGTCCCAGCACGATTTAGGATCGCCAGGTGTCGGGACGCAACAGTCACATTGATTCGCGGTGTTGAAGTCTAAGGAGAAGCGTTATGGCGCGATTCTAGAGCAGCCAGAACGCACCAGTCACATTAAGCTGCGGCGTCGAAGTCGCAGGAATGGTGCTTTGGAACGACTGAGGATTCTCAGACGATTGTCGTCTAGTGTGCCACTTCCCGCCGTGAATATAATTCCCTTGGGGACCTATGAAGAGGAAACTTTGAGGCAGGGTTGATTGCAGCATCGTTGATGCATATTGGGTTTATACTTGCCCTCCTCCTCCTCCTCCTCGTCCTCCTCTTTGTCCCCCTCCTCCTCCTCCTCCTCCTCCTCCTCCTCCTCCTCCAATTGCCTTGTTCAGCGGGCGCATTGGCTGTGACCACTTGAATTCCGACTCTTCCCGCCCACGCGCTGGACGGCGTATGGTTTCATGCGTGCGTGGCGATACCCGGCGTGACCGGGGGGGGGGTGCATCGACCCCGCAGGAGGAAGCGTCGTGCTCCGCAGCGTCGTACGGGGCCTTCCCTTTAGGGGGCCGCAGGTGTGGAGCTTGAAGCTCAGCCCTGCCCGGCGGCGACGGGGGGGGATGGAGGGAGGGAAGGGGGCCTGTCACGTCACGATTCGCGGCGGCGCCGTGTGGAAATGACTGGCAATGGCTCGCTCCCAGAGGGCGCTGGCGCGAACGGTGACGTGATTTGGAGCGAAGAGCGGGGGGGCGGGCGGTCCCGGGCGCTCTCGCGAATAATTAGTAAAGACTTGTTCGTGCGGTCGGCGGCGGCGAGCGGCTGCGACGCTGGCGAGGGTCGGGCCATACGACACGTTCGACCCAGCTCTCCGAGGGTAGGATTTCTTCGACCGGCGGTTTTTGTCCCCGACGTCGGCCCTCCGAGGGCCATTTTCGCGCCTCGGGACGTCCAAACACGGATCTGGGGCGAAAAATGGTCCTCGGGGACGCGGTCGGGGCCAGGGAACGACGACGCGCTGCCGTTGGCAGCTCGGGCCGGACGCCGGGGCTTCCACGTCGCCGTGGAAAAAGAGCCACGGCGGCGGGGTCTTGTTGGCAAGTTTGCTGGCGATTGGGGGCCCCGCCGCATCCAGAGAAAACCGAGGCGACGCGCCCAGCCCGCGCCGACACCGACACCATGGACTTCCTCTTCTTCCTCCTCCTCCTCCTTCGCCTCCTCCTCCGCCTCCTCCTCCTCCTCCTCCTCCTCCTCCTCCTCTTCTTCCTCCTCCTCCTCCTCCTCCTCCTCCTCCTCCCCCTCCTCCTCCTCTCCCCCCAAGATTTACTGTGTCTCGCATTGCGTATATCCAGATAAACCAGATCCCTTGAGAACGGAGTGTGGGAGTCTCTCGGGGTCGAGGGCGCGCGCGCGCGAAAGTTGGCGCGTGCGTCTGTGAATGATTTGCGTGCTCTGTGGCATCCTCCTCTCCTTCCTCCTCCTCCTCCTCCTCCTCCTCCTCCTCCAAACCCTACTCCTTCTCCTCCTCCTCGTCCTCCTCCCTCGTTCTCTTCCCATTCCTTATCATCCTTTGCCTCGTCGTCCTCCTCCTCCTCATCATCAATATCATTATCAGCATCATCATATGTATTGTGTTGTTGCGCGCCCCCCCAACAAACAGTACATAATTATGTAGAGAACAAAGTGACAACAACACGATATATGGATGGGGGATGGCAATGCTGATGTTTTTTTGTTGCACTTATTTATTAGGGGAAACAAAAATGCACCTCCTCCTCCTCGATCGCCTTCTCTTTCTTCTCCTCTTCTTCTTCCTGTTCCGCCTCCTCCTCTTCTTCCTCCTCCTCCGCCTCTTCCTCCTCCTCCTCCTGGCCCCTGCTACGCCCCCTCTGCGAAGTCCTGCTAAGCCCTGCTAGACCCTGCTACTTCCTGTTCAGTCCTGGTGAGCACTGCTTGCCCTTGCTAAGCACCGCTGAGCCCCGCCAGCCCCGGCTACGCCCTGGCAGTGGGCCCTTCCAGCCCCTGCTAAGCCCTACTACAGCCGCTTTGCAACTCCAGCTTTTAATGATCCACAACCAGGTGGAACCCCTCGGATCAGGGCCTCAGCATTCTCCATAGGTGATCCCTTCATGGCACGCTTGGGTTATCGCGCATGTTTCGGCCGCGCTGAGGCCCTCAGGTTAGGGCCTCAACATCCACCCGACGTGACTCCCGAAATGCAGGCGTGGGTATGTGGCGCATGTCGAAGCCATGGTGAGGCCACGTTGAGGCCCTCAGGTCAGGACCTCCCCCCCCGACGTGAATTCCGCAACGCAGGCTTGGACTCTGGGGCCCATTCAGAGGCCACGTTGAGGCTGTCAGGTCAGGGTTCCAACATCCCCCGACGTGGGCCCAGCAGCAACGCAAGCTTGGATTGTGAGGCCCGTGCTGAGGCCATGTCGTGGCCCTCGGGGCAGGGCCCCAGCACCTCTCCGACGTGCTTCCCGCGCAGCAGGCTTGGACTCTGGACCTCATGACCTTATGACGAGGCCATGTGGAGGCCCTCAGGTCACGGCCTCAAGTCAACCTCCCGACGTGAGTCCAGCAACGCAGGCTTGGATGTTGAGGCCCATGTTCAGGCCGTCAGGTCACAGCCTCAACCCTCGGGCTGGAGCCTCAACATCCCTTCGACTTGCTTCCCACATGGCAGGCTTGGATGCTGGGGCCCATGTTGAGGCCAGTTGAGGCCTCCAAGTCAGAGCCTCAACATCCTCCCGGAGTGTTGCCCGCATAGAAGACTTGAACGGTAGGGCCCATGTTGAGGCCCTGCCGATTTTTATTGTTATAATGGTGCTCGTGCGGGTAGCACTTTGCACGGTGGCCCACGGGGTGGGGGGCTGGCGGACATGGCATATTGCGACACGCCAGCGTTGTAGTCCTGCCCCTTTCCCAAAGTCCCCCCCCGTGGGGTGGCGGACAAACGTCAGGTTTCAATCAATTGATGGCGACGGCGCGGCGGGCAGGCAGCCCGCAACGAAATATCCTATTAAAAATCAAAAGCTGAATGTGAAAGCCGCCGTAAGAACCTGCTGCTGAGTCACGTTGAGGAGTCTTGCTAGCGCCCTGCAAAGTCACGATACGTCCCGCTAATCTCTGCCAAGCTCTGCCAAGCTCTCATAAGCCATGCTAAGCTTTGCTGAGCCCTGCTAGGCACTGATATGCAATGCCAGCTCCAGCTAGGCTCGGCTAAGGCGTGTCATGCCATGGTAAGCCACGGGAAGCCTTGCGACGCCCCTCTAAGCCCTGATATGCCATACTAACCCCCGCTAAGCCCTTGCAGGCCCTGGTGAGCCTCGCATGGTCCTGCGAAGCATTGGTGAGCTCTGCCCTGGCCTGATCAGATCTGCGAAGCCTCAAGATTACCTGGTGAGCCATTCTCGGCCCTGTGCAGCCCTGGCCCTAGTCTGAGCCCTGCTAAGCTTGGCCAAGCTCCGCTGCGCCCTGCTGGGCTCCGCCAGCCGCTTCTGGCCACTGCCGAGCCGCGCGTGATGTTGCTGTGCCCCGGCAAGGCGCGCGAAGCAGTGCCGAGCCTGGCGCAGCCCCGCGGGGGCCTGCTGCGCTCTGCGGAGCCGTGCCCATCCCTGCTAATCCAGATTTCGCTCGGCTGAACATTGCTGCGGTCTGCCGGCTCCGATATGCCCTGCTGGGCCACGATCGCCTGCGGTTGGCCCCGAGAAGCCATGCCATGACATGCCGAGCCATGTCCTGCTACGCTTTGCACAGCCCTCCGAAGGCATGCTTGGCCCTGCGATTCTGTGATGAGCCCTGTTAATCTCTGGTGGGCAATGCTGACCCCTGCCAGGCATTGCTAACATG